CCCGCTCAGTCTTTTTTAAATTTTATTTTAATGTGTATTCATTTTTGAGAGAGGGCATTGGGGAGCCCTGCATCTCTTTGCTTTCCTGTTTATTCCTGCCCCCCATCGCCAGAGGGATCTTAACATTTGAGTCACAGCTTCCGTGCCTTCTCAGCTCACTAGCCTCCGCTGTCTCCTCACTTCACTCAGTAACCGGGGGTCTCCTCGCATTACAAGAACCTATGGCAGCAAACAGGAAGTTCCTGGACCACTCCAGCACACTCCTGCCTCAGGATCTTTGCACTGGCTGTTCCCTCTGCTGGAACAGTCTTCTCCCAGATAGCCGCCTGGCTCCACCCCCTCACTTCCTTCAAGTGTTGTCTCAAAAGACACCTGTCTGAGCACCTTCTTAAATACTGCAACCCTTAGCTTCCTCCCTAGGTCTCCGAAACTCACGCCCCCGGCAGTGTTTTTGTCCATAGCACGTATCCCCTTGTAACTATAATATGTTCTTGGTTATTAAGTTTATGGTTCACCCTCTTCCCACTGGGCTTGAAATTCCGTGAAGGAACAGATCTTGTCCGTCTGGTTCACCGCTGTAGCCACAGGGTCTGGAACAGCACCCGGCATACAACAGGTGCTTAACAGAGTGGCTGAATGAATGAATTCAGGCTGGTAGTTAATAATGTATATGTGTGCATAGACACATAGTTTAATTGATAGGAGGGGAATGAAAAATAATGCTTACTGTATGGAAAGGGGACATGAGGTTTCCTTTTTTTTGCCCCACCCCCCCTCAATGCGGGTGAGGAATTGAACATCCTTCACAGAATGGGCTTCCAGAACTCGCTGGGAGGAGAAGCTGTGTTTCTTGTTTTATTTTTTTAAGTTTATTTATTTATTTGGGGGGGAGGGGCAGAGAGAGGGAGGGAGAGAATCCCAAGCAGGCTCTGTGCCAGGTGGGGATTGAACCCATGAACCCTGAGATCATGACCTGAGCCAAGATCACGAGTCGGACGCCCAAATGACCGAGCCACCCCGGTGCCCCTTTTATATTTCTTTTTAAGGGGTGCATTTCCTTTCTCTTCTTGTGAGCCCCTGTGCCCTCTGTGGTAGGGTGGGCCCACGTTTGTGAGCCAGCCAAAACCATGTGAGGCCGCCAATTTCCTTGTACCTCTCTGTAGGGATGGAATTTTCTAGTGCTGTCCATGGTGGTAGCTGCTAGCCAGGTAGGGCTATTTGAATTTAAATTGGAATTAAGGTTTAAAAATTTGTTTCCGGGGCGCCTGGGTGGCTCAGTCGGTTAAGCGTCCGACTT